TTTTGGTGAATATTTTTGTCATTTTTGGTAAAAAGTGATATTTTCGACTTCTTGTTAAAAACCGCAAGTCCAATTGTTTTGACATTACATATATAGGTACTATATGTGGACCTCTCTCAGATTTGTTCATTTTGTAATGACATCTTTAATTCTCTAATTTTGGTGAATATTTTTGTCATTTTTGGTAAAAAGTGGTATTTTCGACTTGTTGTTAAAAACCGCAATCATTTATGGTGAAAAATGATATTTTTGAATTCTTGTTAAAAACCGCAAGTCCAATTGCTTTGATATTACATATATAGGTACTACATGTGGACCTCTCTCAGATTTGTTCAATTTGTAATAATATCTTTAATTCTATAAATTTGGTGAATATTTTTGTCATTTTTGGCAAAAAGTGATATTTTCGACTTCTTGTTAAAAACCGGAAGTCCAAATGCTTTGATATTACATATATAGGTACTACATGTGGACCTCTTTCAGATTGTTAATTTCGTGGTGATATTTTCAATTATCTAATTTTGATGATTATTTTTGTCATTGTTGGTGAAAAGTGATATTTTTGACTCCTTGTTGAAAACAGCAAGTCCCATTGCTTTGATACTATATATATTATTCATTTTCCAATGATATCTTCTGTTCTTTAATTGAAATGTGCATTGCTGACAGCAGAGCTATCTCAGCCGACCGGCTGCTTGTCATTATTATGAGTTTATATCAGGATGCCAAAAAAAATCGGGGTTTCAAGATACAAAATATCATAAAAATTGGGGAAAACTTTTGAAAGTAACGATGTTGAAATTACTGAGAAATAATTGTAAAGTTATTCATTTGTAATAACTGCTAACATAAAAAAGTAATTAGCAAGTAAATAACACCAAATACATAGCTTGATAAATAATACTGTAGTTAACAGTCCTATCTTGTATGTTTTTTTATCAGTATAAAGCCTACCCCGAAGGCTTATGGCATCACTTCTCCAATTAGTTTGGCTGAACCAAAGCCTTTTGATTTGGAGTTGACTAAAAAACTGGAAGAGTCTCTTGTGCCATTCGATGTATTTGAAACAAAACTGGAGTTGGCTCATCGGTAAGTTTGATTTTCCATGATGGTTTTATTCCTCCAGCTAAAATTTATATGATTAAGTAAATATAGAACTGAAGTACATATCAAATAGATTTTTGTTGAGTCAGTTTTCAGTGAATGAATCACTTCACTCAGGAGTTGAAATGAAAAGAGTCTGGGAGTCCCTACAATTTGCTTCAGACTTGCACAGTAGCTTACTAAGGATCCCTGCATTCTTCATTGCTGGTACATTAAATGTTTTTGAATATTGCATTTGCTTTACTGTAAAGTACTTTATTTGGAATTTATTTTGCCATTTTCAAAAATAAAATCCAGTGAAAATGTCTTTATGGTGAAAAATAGTCAGAGCAATCAGACAGCAGCTCGTTTGTTGACAGGTTTACATACCAGTTAGTGTGCCTTGTATATATGCTTTGACTCTACTATTCTTTCATTCCTATCATTTTCGCGCCATCACTATTCTCGTAGTCTTGTTAAATATATTCTGTCGTGTTTAGACTTATCTCAAATTTTAGACGTAGCAAATTCCCCACCCGATTTCTACCACTGACTCTCACTTGTTTGATGATACATGATTTTTAAGTTTTACAAAAAGACCTAATAGTCTGTTGATTTATTATGTTCTCATTGTATAATCTGGAAAATTAAGAACATTATGTAAATGTATGATAATGTACTTGTGTACATATACTTGTGGTTCACTTATAGTCTCCATATGCATAATTTTTGTATTAGTCATTGTGGTTTTACTGAAATATCATTTTGAAATCATGTTCGTCTGAGGTTTTCCAACATTAATTTGTTCACTAGTTCCATAACACCAATGTATTTCCTCTCTGTTTAGAATGGAAGTTTTAGCCAAACTTAATAAACTTCTGAAGGACTGGATCAAACAAGTGAGCCTATCTAAAAATATGCCACCAAATGTGGCTGAAACTGTTGGTGGTAAGATTTATACATTTGGTTCCTATCGACTTGGTGTCAATGCTAAAGGTGAGACTATTTACTATAATGTTGCATTTCTCAAAACTGTTGTTTATCAGCCTTGTCTGTTTATATAAATTTTGCATATAAAGGTCATGCTCACATGAATATAATTTTTAATCAAGACGATGTCTTCAGAAAAACAGTCATCTGTATGTACTAGTGTAATTAAAATTGAATTTTTCAGCCTACATGTACCCAGTAGCTGTTTATATGCAATCATTTGTTGGTTATTGCATGAAATCAAATTGATGTTGCTTACTATACTGTGGTTGGTATTCATTTCATCAAACATGTATTCTTGTGTCTGTTAATTGTACAAACTGAAACTGTCTAATCTTTTCTTGTCATGCAATAGGTGGTGATATTGATGCCCTGTGTGTTGCACCTCGTCATCTAGATCGTTCAGATTTTTTTTCATCATTTGCTGATGTTCTTAAACAGCAACCTGAGACCAAAGACCTTAGGGTAAGAACTGTTATTGTTAATAATTTATCCCTATCCAACATAATCCAAAATGAGAACTTGGGTTTTGGGATCTGTCTGTC